GTTTTGTATTTATGTTGCTAATAAGACCTTAGCTAGCCATCCTAGGCCTAATACACGCTGAGGCCTAATATGGTACATATAAGTGCTATACTAGGCCTAGGAATATTAAAGTTTAGTTTTAGCTTTATTTTTCGGATAATAAAGTGAATGGTACCAAATTCTAACGAGTCCGGAAAAAAATAAAGCTAAAATTTAAACTTTAATATTGCTAGGCCTAGTATAGCATGCAGGTCTGTCTTGACCGGTCCTCGCTATACCTGTGGGCTGTGTGGCTGGGTTTGTTGCTGGGGTCCTCCCTAACCCCGTCTCATGTCCGCGTACTCCGTCCTCCTATTATGTTGGTTAGGTTAGGTTGGATTAGGGTTGGTTTGTCTGTTGGGTTTGTCATAGTTTGCCCCACTCAAGGTTAGGTTAGGGTTGGTCGGTTCCTATACAGGTTCCAGTCCAGGGTTAGACTACCTCTCTCTTAAGGTCGCCCTTACGAGGTGGTTCTTCAAGGGCTTGCCTCGTTCTCCATGCTATCATAGAGAGGGCTGGTGCACAGCTGCTCTAGGCAGCTTTGGGAGGGAGGGAGCCGGTCGGCCGAGCGGACAGCACGCTGGACTTGTGATCCTGTGGTCCTGGGTTCGATCCCAGGCGCCGGCGAGAAACAATGGGCAGAGTTTCTTTCACCCTATGCCCCTGTTACCTAGCAGTAAAATAGGTACCTGGGTGTTAGTCAGCTGTCACGGGCTGCTTCCTGGGGGTGGAGGCCTGGTCGAGGACCGGGCCGCGGAGACACTAAAGCCCCGAAATCATCTCAAGATAACCTCAAGATAGGCTGGGTGTTCCCCGTAGTTGTCCTTGAGCCACTCCCATACCCCTGTGTTCTTGAGGGGGGCCTGCACCTCCTGGGGAGAAAAGGGTCGGCAGGCTCCATCTCTTCTCGTCTGTTCGTGGTACTGTGGGTAGGAGCAGCTCCGGCCTTGTTTTAGTGCCGAGTTTCTCTCGTGCTAACTGCATTATCTCCTCCGGATGGCCGCCGTTATCTTCTTGAGGTCCTGAACATCTGCCGTAAGTCTTCCAGCTGGGACTGCAAAGTCTCTTGCTATTCATTCTCTTTTGGCGAAGACCTAGAGGGTAAGAATTTTTTGGGGGGACTAAAGGTGGTTGGCGTCGACCCTCTGGTATGAGTGAAGGTCCCTTGGTTTATATAATACTTTTGTGTGGAGGAGTCGGTCTGCCTCTCCCACATACACTGTCCTGTCTAAGAAGTTAATTTCCGAGCTGCTTTTCTCCAGAGTAAATTTTAAGTTACCGTGGGCCGTATTGGCTCATGTGAAGAAGGCGTGTAGGCGATCTTCTCCGCCCGTCATCACTCCCAAAATATCGTCAATATATCTGAAATATACTAACGGGCTGTCTTCCCTCTGCATTCTCTTCCATTCAAAGGCGACGTGGACGAAAATTTCAGCAATCGCCACAGTACTTGAGGCCCCTATCCCCGTCCATTCCGTCTGGCGATACGTTGTTCCGTTGAACTCCAGTATGGTGTCTCTCATCACATGGAGGATGGCTTCCTCAAGTGCAGTAGTTTCTTCGACGGTGTCCTCCAGACTCCTGCTTCCCGTAGGTCCCTTGTCACCCAGTATTTGTTTCCTGGAAGGAGGCCGCAACCGTTTTGGCGACTTCCCTCTGTGGAATGCTCGGGTAGAGCGAGACTACATCCATACAAAAAAGGATTATATTGTCTGGTACAGGGCCTCGTTCACCTGGTTTACCTTGTTCAGGAAATCCGTTGTGGCTCCTATCATTTCGGGCAGGAGTTTGAGGAGGGGTTCAGGAGCGCTGTGTAGATCCAGTCCACCAGAGGACTGAGGGAGAGGGAGGAATGTATCAAGGAGGTGTGTTGTGACAATACTGGCGGAGGTATACAACGGGGAGACATTGCTCAGAGGGTTGAGTACGGAGGCCGGAGTGACCCGCCACCTTCCTCCCCCGCACTTCAACCCTCCATATTCTCGTCTGCAAAAATTTCCAGTGAATTATGCAGAGCCTCGACCTTGTGCTCGTGTGCCCCTTCCCCCCTGCCTCGTCCTCGGAGGCAGGGAGAGACGGGGGAGGGGGGTGGGGGATAGAAGAGAGTTCGTGTTATGGATGGGGTGGGGGTGTGGGGCGTGACGGGGACCGGACAGGTGGAGGCTGTCAAGAACGTCATGTACAAGGCTGACCGCCACCTCTCGCCTCCCTCCCTCAGGCACCAGCTCTCTCCCATCCTTCCACCAGAGTAGGAGAGTTGAAGTCAATTAATTTCTAATCTCATACGATAATAAGCATTTGAAATAGGTATCAGGAAAAGACCGGGCTCAGGAGCTGATGCTCGGCCCTACACACACACATCTAGGTAAACACATGCATGAGCAGCTGTTGTAGGCAATACTAATTTTCCGCATCTTTTCGAATGAGTCATGCTCCTACAGGTGTTCTGATAACTTATTCTCGGGTTTACCCTTGAGATGCCGTGGCTGTGCACGCGTGCACACACCGCACGCGTGCACACAGGGTAGGGGCGCACACAGACGAGAGTTAAATGATGGCATTTAATGCATCAACCACCAACAATTAAGCACCATTGTTGGTGGTGGTGGTCGCTGTGGGACGGTGACGTGTGTTGGGGGGGGGGAGGAGACCTGTGGTGTGTAGTATAACCTTTTGTGCTCCTCTACGTTGTGTTGACCCCTCACCCTGCTCCTCTACGCTGTGTTGACCCCTCACCCTGCTCCTCTACGCTGTGTTGACCCCTCACCCTGCTCCTCTACGCTGTATTGACCCCTCACCCTGCTCCTCTACGCTGTGTTGACCCCTCACCCTGCTCCTCTACGCTGTGTTGACCCCTCACCCTGCTCCTCTACGCTGTCCTCTACGCTGTGACCCCTCACCCTGCTCCTCTACGCTGTGTTGACCCCTCACCCTGCTCCTCTACGCTGTGTTGACCCCTCACCCTGCTCCTCTACGCTGTGTTGACCCCTCACCCTGCTCCTCTACGCTGTGTTGACCCCTCACCCTGCTCCTCTACGCTGTGTTGACCCCTCACCCTGCTCCTCTACGCTGTGTTGACCCCTCACCCTGCTCCTCTACGCTGTGTTGACCCCTCACCCTGCTCCTCTACGCTGTGTTGACCCCTCACCCTGCTCCTCTACGCTGTGTTGACCCCTCACCCTGCTCCTCTACGCTGTGTTGACCCCTCACCCTGCTCCTCTACGCTGTGTTGACCCCTCACCCTGCTCCTCTACGCTGTGTTGACCCCTCACCCTGCTCCTCTACGCTGTGTTGACCCCTCACCCTGCTCCTCTACGTTGTGTTGACCCCTCACCCTGCTCCTCTACGTTGTGTTGACCCCTCACCCTGCTCCTCTACGCTGTGTTGACCCCTCACCCTGCTCCTCTACGCTGTGTTGACCCCTCACCCTGCTCCTCTACGCTGTGTTGACCCCTCACCCTGCTCCTCTACGCTGTGTTGACCCCTCACCCTGCTCCTCTACGTTGTGTTGACCCCTCACCCTGCTCCACTACGTTGTGTTGACCCCTCACCCTGCTCCTCTACGTTGTGTTGACCCCTCACCCTGCTCCTCTACGCTGTGTTGACCCCTCACTCTGCTCCTCTACGTTATGTTGACCCCTCACCCTGCTCCACTACGCTGTGTTGACCCCTCACCCTGCTCCTCTACGCTGTGTTGACCCCTCACCCAGCTCCTCTACGCTGTGTTGACCCCTCACCCTGCTCCTCTACGCTGTGTTGACCCCTCACCCTGCTCCTCTACGCTGTGTTGACCCCTCACCCTGCTCCTCTACGTTGTGTTGACCCCTCACCCTGCTCCTCTACGTTGTGTTGACCCCTCACCCTGCTCCTCTACGTTGTGTTGACCCCTCACCCTGCTCCTCTACGTTGTGTTGACCCCTCACCCTGCTCCTCTACGCTGTGTTGACCCCTCACTCTGCTCCTCTACGTTGTGTTGACCCCTCACCCTGCTCCTCTACGCTGTGTTGACCCCTCACCCTGCTCCTCTACGTTGTGTTGACCCCTCACCCTGCTCCTCTACGCTGTGTTGACCCCTCACTCTGCTCCTCTACGTTGTGTTGACCCCTCACCCTGCTCCTCTACGCTGTGTTGACCCCTCACCCTGCTCCTCTACGCTGTGTTGACCCCTCACCCTGCTCCTCTACGTTGTGTTGACCCCTCACCCTGCTCCTCTACGGTGTGTTGACCCCTCACCCTGCTCCTCTACGCTGTGTTGACCCCTCACCCTGCTCCTCTACGTTGTGTTGACCCCTCACCCTGCTCCTCTACGGTGTGTTGACCCCTCACCCTGCTCCTCTACGCTGTGTTGACCCCTCACCCTGCTCCTCTACGCTGTGTTGACCCCTCACCCTGCTCCTCTACGCTGTGTTGACCCCTCACCCTGCTCCTCTACGCTGTATTGACCCCTCACCCTGCTCCTCTACGCTGTATTGACCCCTCACCCTGCTCCTCTACGCTGTATTGACCCCTCACCCTGCTCCCACAAGCAGTACTACTACAATACCTGGAGTATAGTTCATGTATTATGCACCACAATACCCATGCTCTGGGCGGTAGGGGAAAGGGTTAGAGGCACATAATGGGCTGAGGGACTGAACCCCAACTACCTGGGGCCAGATTCACGAAAGCAGTTACGCAAACACTTACGAACGTGTACATCTTTCCTCAATCTTTGACGGCTTTGGTTACAATTATTAAACAGTTTACAAGCATGAAAACTTCCCATTCAACTGTTGTTATTGTTATAAACAGCCTCCTGGTGCTTCGGAGCTCATTAACTGTTTAATAATTGGAAACAAAGCCGCCAAAGATTGAGAAAAGATGTACAGGTTCGTAAGTGCTTGCGTAAGTGCTTTCGTGAATCTGGCCCCTGGAGCATTAAGCATCACAACACCGTGGGTGTTGAGACATAACTAATGGCTGTGTTTCTCTGTTGTTGACAGGTGCTGTCGAAGGAGCCCAAGACTGACTCGGCGGAGACCAGCGCGACCACACCTCCCCATGTACAGAAGAGAGGTCAGTTCCCTCCTTTTTTATTTTGATTGTTGCCGCCGAAGGCGGCTAGTTTATTGTGCACCCCATACTCATCCTGTGAGCGGTAGCGCAAAAGCATTACAGAAAGCACAAAAGGTCTTTATCAGACCTCATCTCCCTCCTCTTACTGCATGTCCTGCTACACCACCACCGCCGCTCCTCAAGCATGCACCTCTCCACTTACCTTACCTCTACATCTTGCCTCCGTCATGACGACTTCTGTATTAAACAGTTGACGTGCTGGGAAGCGCTGTGAGGTCTTCACCTTCACCCAAGGTGGTTATAGTTATTGACTACCTCTTGTGCTTCTGAGCACTTAAGTTGTTTAATAACTGTAAAGCCGCCATGATAAAATATGTACAGGTCTCGTAAGTGGTCACTTAAAACTTGACTTATCCAGGCCCAGACCGTATCTTTGGGGTAACCACTTTTCTTATGTCTGAACTTGTGAATAGAGATCACTGTCGCCTGCCTTCTGTCCTAACTCATTCTATGTCTTCACGAAACTTGTATGCAAGAAGTGCTTCCTAACGTCCCTGTGGCTCGTGTGTGTGTGTGTGTGTGTGTGTGTGTGTGTGTGTGTGTGTGTGTGTGTGTGTGTGTGTGTGTGTGTGTGTGTGTGTGTGTGTGTGTTCCGTGTTCTCTCTCGCTGGTGTTACCGAACGTCGCCGCGTTTTCTTCTTTTTTTTCAGTGCATCTAATTAAGTATCTTTTATATCGTAGTAATGTCTCCTCTGGAACGGGTCTCGGGATATTTCTTTGACCTTTTTTTTAATTTTCATTTGTGATTGACGACTGCTGGTGTTGTCATACTCTGCCACTGACTTAATCGGACATTTACGTTCCCTGATGCATAGAAAATGATATATTTGTGAGCAGTTAGTTTTCATAGTAGGCTACATTTGTAACGTTGGTTACCATAATGGGGGAAAGTAGGACTTAGTAGTTGAGAGGACGTGATGCTGCCTTACACAGTAGCGTAGGACCCGTCGTCCAGCCCTCAGTGCCCTGTCCATGGAGGACAGAAGAAAATGTATATATGCTGGTTAGCATTGTAAATGTGTGGCCACGTCTGTGGTAGAAAAAAAAAACACGCCCTCAGTGCTGTTCAGCCCCGTAAACTGACTGTTGCCGTCAAGAGTGTTTACCTTTTGTATTACTGAATTACCCCAAACAAAGAAAATACAAAGAACATAGAAAACTAAAAAGGCTAAATTGACCTGTCCAAACAATCCTAGGACTAATATACGCTATCTTAGGCGTAATATAGCGCATATATGTACAATACTAAGCCTAGGAATTCTGGGCAGTATAGGTCATAACATTTTCTTGAAGTGAAATTATGTGCATGTCAGTATGGAAATATCTGCGTGTTGATCCAAAACCACATTTTCCCCTTGTTGTACTAGATTTAGACATTTTCTGGAATAAGAACTGCATTTTAATCTTTCTCTTTCTATAATAAATGTGTGTAAATGTCCTTTGTATATGTTTGTGTTTCCTGTGCGTCTCTGCATGCCTGTGTGTTGTAGTGTGTACTGGTGGGCTGTCTCTACTGTTTGTTACTCTCTGGTACTGGTGGGCTGTCTCTACTGTTTGTTACTCTCTGGTACTGGTGGGCTGTCTCTACTGTTTGTTACTCTCTGGTACTGGTGGGCTGTCTCTACTGTTTGTTACTCTCTGGTACTGGTGGGGCTGTCTCTACTGTTTGTTACTCTCTGGTACTGGTGGGGCTGTCTCTACTGTTTGTTACTCTCTGGTACTGGTGGGCTGTCTCTACTGTTTGTTACTCTCTGGTACTGGTGGGCTGTCTCTACTGTTTGTTACTCTCTGGTACTGGTGGGCTGTCTCTACTGTTTGTTACTCTCTGGTACTGGTGGGCTGTCTCTACTGTTTGTTACTCTCTGGTACTGGTGGGCTGTCTCTACTGTTTGTTACTCTCTGGTACTGGTGGGCTGTCTCTACTGTTTGTTACTCTCTGGTACTGGTGGGCTGTCTCTACTGTTTGTTACTCTCTGGTACTGGTGGGCTGTCTCTACTGTTTGTTACTCTCTGGTACTGGTGAGGCTGTCTCTACTGTTTGTTACTCTCTGGTACTGGTGGGCTGTCTCTACTGTTTGTTACTCTCTGGTACTGGTGGGCTGTCTCTACTGTTTGTTACTCTCTGGTACTGGTGGGCTGTCTCTACTGTTTGTTACTCTCTGGTACTGGTGAGGCTGTCTCTACTGTTTGTTACTCTCTGGTACTGGTGAGGCTGTCTCTACTGTTTGTTACTCTCTGGTACTGGTGAGGCTGTCTCTACTGTTTGTTACTCTCTGGTACTGGTGAGGCTGTCTCTACTGTTTGTTACTCTCTGGTACTGGTGAGGCTGTCTCTACTGTTTGTTACTCTCTGGTACTGGTGAGGCTGTCTCTACTGTTTGTTACTCTCTGGTACTGGTGAGGCTGTCTCTACTGTTTGTTACTCTCTGGTACTGGTGGGCTGTCTCTACTGTTTGTTACTCTCTGGTACTGGTGAGGCTGTCTCTACTGTTTGTTACTCTCTGGTACTGGTGAGGCTGTCTCTACTGTTTGTTACTCTCTGGTACTGGTGAGGCTGTCTCTACTGTTTGTTACTCTCTGGTACTGGTGAGGCTGTCTCTACTGTTTGTTACTCTCTGGTACTGGTGAGGCTGTCTCTACTGTTTGTTACTCTCTGGTACTGGTGAGGCTGTCTCTACTGTTTGTTACTCTCTGGTACTGGTGAGGCTGTCTCTACTGTTTGTTACTCTCTGGTACTGGTGAGGCTGTCTCTACTGTTTGTTACTCTCTGGTACTGGTGGGCTGTCTCTACTGTTTGTTACTCTCTGGTACTGGTGAGGCTGTCTCTACTGTTTGTTACTCTCTGGTACTGGTGAGGCTGTCTCTACTGTTTGTTACTCTCTGGTACTGGTGAGGCTGTCTCTACTGTTTGTTACTCTCTGGTACTGGTGAGGCTGTCTCTACTGTTTGTTACTCTCTGGTACTGGTGAGGCTGTCTCTACTGTTTGTTACTCTCTGGTACTGGTGAGGCTGTCTCTACTGTTTGTTACTCTCTGGTACTGGTGAGGCTGTCTCTACTGTTTGTTACTCTCTGGTACTGGTGAGGCTGTCTCTACTGTTGTTACTCTCTGGTACTGGTGAGGCTTGTTCTCTGGTACTGGTGGGCTGTCTCTACTGTTTGTTACTCTCTGGTACTGGTGAGGCTGTCTCTACTGTTTGTTACTCTCTGGTACTGGTGGGCTGTCTCTACTGTTTGTTACTCTCTGGTACTGGTGGGCTGTCTCTACTGTTTGTTACTCTCTGGTACTGGTGAGGCTGTCTCTACTGTTTGTTACTCTCTGGTACTGGTGGGCTGTCTCTACTGTTTGTTACTCTCTGGTACTGGTGTCTCTACTGGCTGTCTCTACTGTTTGTTACTCTCTGGTACTGGTGGGCTGTCTCTACTGTTTGTTACTCTCTGGTACTGGTGGGCTGTCTCTACTGTTTGTTACTCTCTGGTACTGGTGGGCTGTCTCTACTGTTTGTTACTCTCTGGTACTGGTGGGCTGTCTCTACTGTTTGTTACTCTCTGGTACTGGTGAGGCTGTCTCTACTGTTTGTTACTCTCTGGTACTGGTGGGCTGTCTCTACTGTTTGTTACTCTCTGGTACTGGTGGGCTGTCTCTACTGTTTGTTACTCTCTGGTACTGGTGGGCTGTCTCTACTGTTTGTTACTCTCTGGTACTGGTGGGCTGTCTCTACTGTTTGTTACTCTCTGGTACTGGTGGGCTGTCTCTACTGTTTGTTACTCTCTGGTACTGGTGGGCTGTCTCTACTGTTTGTTACTCTCTGGTACTGGTGGGCTGTCTCTACTGTTTGTTACTCTCTGGTACTGGTGGGCTGTCTCTACTGTTTGTTACTCTCTGGTACTGGTGGGCTGTCTCTACTGTTTGTTACTCTCTGGTACTGGTGGGCTGTCTCTACTGTTTGTTACTCTCTGGTACTGGTGGGCTGTCTCTACTGTTTGTTACTCTCTGGTACTGGTGGGCTGTCTCTACTGTTTGTTACTCTCTGGTACTGGTGGGCTGTCTCTACTGTTTTACTCTTACTGGTGGGCTGTCTCTACTGTTTGTACTCTCTGGTACTGGTGGGCTGTCTCTACTGTTTGTTACTCTCTGGTACTGGTGGGCTGTCTCTACCGTTTGTTACTCTCTGGTACTGGTGGGCTGTCTCTACTGTTTGTTACTCTCTGGTACTGGTGGGCTGTCTCTACTGTTTGTTACTCTCTGGTACTGGTGGGCTGTCTCTACTGTTTGTTACTCTCTGGTACTGGTGGGCTGTCTCTACTGTTTGTTACTCTCTGGTACTGGTGGGCTGTCTCTACTGTTTGTTACTCTCTGGTACTGGTGGGCTGTCTCTACTGTTTGTTACTCTCTGGTACTGGTGGGCTGTCTCTACTGTTTGTTACTCTCTGGTACTGGTGGGCTGTCTCTACTGTTTGTTACTCTCTGGTACTGGTGGGCTGTCTCTACTGTTTGTTACTCTCTGGTACTGGTGGGCTGTCTCTACTGTTTGTTACTCTCTGGTACTGGTGGGCTGTCTCTACCGTTTGTTACTGTTGGTGGGCTGTTACTTTGTTACTCTGGTACTGGTGGGCTGTCTCTACTGTTTGTTACTCTCTGGTACTGGTGGGCTGTCTCTACCGTTTGTTACTCTCTGGTACTGGTGGGCTGTCTCTACCGTTTGTTACTCTCTGGTACTGGTGGGCTGTCTCTACTGTTTGTTACTCTCTGGTACTGGTGGGCTGTCTCTACTGTTTACTGTTACTCTCTGGTACTGGTGGGCTGTCTCTACTGTTTGTTACTCTCTGGTACTGGTGGGCTGTCTCTACCGTTTGTTACTCTCTGGTACTGGTGGGCTGTCTCTACCGTTTGTTACTCTCTGGTACTGGTGGGCTGTCTCTACTGTTTGTTACTCTCTGGT